TCTGTCTGTATATGAAAAATCCATGGGCATTATATTCAAAAACTCTAAATTGTGCTGATGGGCTGCATGATGGTTACCAAAATACTTGTGGCACTTGTCAATAAAGTCTAAAACAGATTGTTTTAATTTTCACAGTAGCTTTGAATAGATAGAAATGTTTATTTTCCCATCTTAAATAAATTCTGATTGTTCTTTGTGCACAAATGAATCAGATAATGTACTGTATTGCTGGGAAGTCATGCTTTATTGATGCTTCTGTTGGTAAAAAAAATTTTTACAAAATTAAAATAACTCCACTCCAGAACAATAATATTGGCAATAAATGTGTTAAGAAATCAGTCTCTGTAAATGAGGTACTTTTTCTTGCTCAGAATTACATTTTCAATGCATACATTTTTTATTAGTAACTCATTTAAAATTTCTCAGAACAAACCTGCCCCATGGCACACCCCGCTCACCCCTATCATGTTCTATTCTATCTGCATGTCTTGTGCTTTAAAATAAACAGTATTTATTTTTAAAAAATAGAACTAGAGGAGGATAAGCTACAAATTGCAGTGCTAAGCAATTAGTTTACTTGTGTCCCCTTCTACTACCCCTGTGCCCACCATACTGCCCCTGTTCCCTCTCTACTGCTATTGTGCCCACCATACTGCCCCTATCCCTCAAAATGCATCTTCGGCTGTGTAGCCAAATATCCTTGCACCGGCCCTGTTTGGATTTGGCTTGCAGTATTATAAATAAACTTTACTCACTTAAGTCTGTTTGAAACACTTGTTTTCTTGATTGGAAACAGTTGTCCACTGTCCATACCTAGCAACTTTTTTTTTTAAACTCTTCTTTTTAGCTCTCCTGGAGAAAATAATGCTATGCTTCTACAGTTCAGCACTCTATTGCTACTTAAAGCAGCTCTGTCACCGTCTGTGGTCATATTTGCATGTTTAGCAAAGATTCCTGATTGTGACAAAGCTGCTAGGGGTGCTGTGGGCCAGCGGTTCAGTGAAGATTGTATAATTCTTTAATACTGTACCCCATGGGTGCCGCCATAATTGGTATTCAGTTCCTAGCTCTTCATGTGCCAGGAGTACATCGGTGCTGTATTCTCACACATACGCGAAAATATATCCCCGTCTATGGAGGAGCTTCCATAGATAATATCTCATGATGAGCGTGATAATGCCTTGCTACAACAGCTGTTGCTGACTGATGTAGTAAGTGAAAATTATGACGGTGTTCGCTTTGCCTTTTGTCAAGTTTTGTCAAGTTTTGACTGTGTTGAATTTCAGTGAGATTCCAATACAGTCTTATAAGCATTTCATAAAAATTGTATCTTTAGGAAAAGATAGAGAAGAGACTGAAATGGGTTAACTAAAAAAATGCTCCCAAGTGCAGTCTCTATACCCTGAATGTGACTGCTCCACTAGTATAAAGCAATGAATTGCTAATCCTAGAGCCTAAATAGAACTAAAAAATAATAAATTTTTATTAAACCCTCTTAGGGAGAAAAGAACTATCACCAAAATAAAGAATGTATATACAATGATATTTACAAAAATATTAAAATAAAAAGGGTACATCCGCTGATCTGCAATATATAGTCACACAATATATATAGTTGCCACTATTAGGGTAAAAAAGACTGTTGTTAACGGTTTCTTTGTAACAAAGTCTCTTTTGCCAGCGACATTGAGTAAGAATCCTCAACTATAGGAAATACAATGTAACCTATAGGATAATATATATCAGTGAGCCCTTTGATGGAACAACCTGCATGTAGATGCACACATAAATGTTGCTTAATAAGAGTAACCCCTGTGGGTAAATTTTACATGACTTCCTATGGTTGTGGGAGCTCCAAGATCAATTGTGCGCAAAGGGTGTAAAGGAGCCTTTGGGGAGGAGAACGGCAGTGTTAAATCGAACGAATAGTACAAGTCAGGATAATAGCAGTCAATAATGTAATACATCCCGATTACAGCGCTCCGTAGATACCCCAATGTTGAACCTAAACTGCCTTACTGTAATGGAAACGGGCGGTATGGTAGGTCCGGTCGGACACACATAAAGGAGAACGTGAGTCTCTAACATCATACACTGCCTAAAGTATCCCCGTAAAGAACATCAAATTAAATTGAATAGAAACTAGTAATGAGATAGATGTCAAGTGCTCAGTAGGTCAGTGTACCGTATATAGGTACACTATTCACTTCTCGCCAGCCTTAAACTAATAACAGATTTTCCCAGTGTACCGATAACCGGCTAACTAAGAATACGGTCCCTTAAATTAACTAGTTCCTAAATAAAAATCAAAGTGAGGGGGTCCCAATTCATAACCCAATTCAAAATAATAATAAAAGCAGATGTCCTAAATAAAATACATAGTGTACAAGGTTATGCTCAACGCACGTTTCGGTGCCAACATGCGCCTTTGTCAAGAGCTAACCGATTGTGAGGAAAGCGCCACTTTTTGAACCCTCTAGTGCCGGCCCATTTTTCGTGACGTCATAGTAGTTTTCAGACGGCACTGTTAGTGGGCGGGGCTAAGGGAGTGACGATAACCTAATCTCAACATGGGGGGGAGTTTAACCCCTAGAATACCAGAGAGTGGTATAACTATCGAAAATCCCTAACCACAATTGATCTTGGAGCTCCCACAACCATAGGAAGTCATGTAAAATTTACCCGCCGGGGTTACTCTTATTAAGCAACATTTATGTGTGCATCTACATGCACGTTGTTCCATCAAAGGGCTCACTGATATATATTATCCTATAGGTTACATTGTATTTTCTATAGTTGACGATTCTTACTCAATGTCGCTGGCAAAAGAGACTTTGTTACAAAGAAACCGTTAACAACAGTCTTTTTTACCCTAACAGTGGTAACTATATATATTGTGTGACTACTATATATATATTGCAGATCAGCGGATGTACCCTTTTTATTTTAATATTTTTGTAAATATCATTGTATATACATTCTTTATATTGGTGATAGTTCTTTTCTCCCTAAGAGGGTTTAATAAAAATGTATTATTTTTTAGTTCTATTTAGGCTCTAGGATTAGCAATTCATTGCTTTATACTAGTGGAGCAGTCACATTCAGGGTATAGAGACTGCACTGGGGAGCACTTTTTTAGTTTCCCATTTCAGTCTCTTCTCTATCTATTATTATTTTGGGTTATGCCCTAATGCCCTTCAACCAATACATTCTAGGTGAGTGATCGTTTTGGGTCATTCACTTCGATTGTACTATTATTATCTCTAGCAAAAACCCAAATTATTTTTTTGATTGTCAAAACCGCTTTAAAAGTAAACTCCACTGCCCAAATGCAAAATACAGCCCCAATACATACAATAAAAACCAAAGAAAAAAATAGTTACTTGCGCACATAAGAGATTTGCCTTGACGTGGCAGGTGGGATTACACCTAATAACTAGTATTTATATAGCGCCTTTCTCCCAGTGGGACTCAAAGCGTCTAATGGCCATTGGAGTTACTAAAAAAAACCTCTATTTATTTAAGTATGCATAGGGATTTAGGCTAGTGTAACTTTTTCCCTTTGGTTTTTATTGTAGGGAAACAAGAGTGTTGAAATTATTCTCCTTCATCATATGCTCAACTCTTTCATCTTATACCTTATGTTCTCCCTGAGTACTGAAAAGGAGGTGTCTTTGCTTCTTTTTTTTCCTGCTCTACCACCTCTCTCTTAGAATACATCCCATTGCATCTTACAACATTTGTGTCCAATAATTGTGCTTCACCTCTGACCCAGTTTAGACCGGCATAATATACTGCTATCATGACCAAAACGTTTTAACGTTCGCGTCCTATCTCTTTATTCTATTTTGCCTCCAACCTTATTTAATTGCACCCAGTTGATCAACTTTCTTTTTTTTAATTTTTTTTTTTATTTTGTTTCTCCTGATTTATTCTCTAATTTCCCTTCTTCAATTTGGCTTAATGGCTCTAATATTTTGTCATGATTACTTGTAAGTCTTGTACAATGCAGACTCGGAGATAGATTCACAATAATTGTATTATGTGATGTGAACTGTGGTCCTGTAGATAATTTCTTTACACATCAAAAGTAAGAAAGTAGAGATACACCAGCAAATGTACAGATCTCATACGTTGTTTCTAATATAGATTGTTGACGCTCATCCCAGGATCTTCACTGTATAGTCCTAGTTACGCCCTTGACAATAAACTTTGGGGAAAAAGCTACATTTAAAAGTAACATTGCACGGAGTGGAGCTTGACCTCCATTGAAGATGGACACGTGTCTGCTGCTCCCACCACCCCGAGCAATCAATCCGCTTTTATCAGTAGAAGCTATTAACCATCCCTCAGCCTAACCTGCACAAACCTTCACACAGCCGACCTCCAGTCATGGGCGGCGTGAACAAAAAAAACAGGGAAATTACCCCCTCAGTCACCACGCTATTCCGCACTGCAAAGGAACAGAGGCGGCCATCTTCCTCACAAGGCCTGGACGACACAACCTCAGAATTGGAGATGAGCGACACTTTGTGCAGATCTCATACACCCCTAACAAAAAGGGACCTCCAGCATCTGCTCCAAGATGCCACAGAAGAAATTAAATCACACACAGCAAAAGAACCCGGCCAGCAAATCACAGGCTTGAAGGAAGACCTAGAGGCCTTGGCCTCCCGCACAAGCCAATTATAGAACAGAGTGGCAGATGTTACTAATAGACAAGCCTCTCACTACAAAGAACTTACCCAGCTCCAAGATCGCATACAATATTTTGAAGATGGAATGGAGGATTTAAACAACCCCTCCAGGCGGAACAATATCCGCACCCGGGGAATGCTGGAATCAGTTTCTCCAGAAACTACCCTACTCTGAGGGAAATTTTTTCGTCTCTGCTGCCAGAGGACTCCAGCCAGGAGCTTACAATAGATCGCACCCACAGTGCCCTAAAACCATGGGATATCATTGTGAGGCTGCTATACTTTACTACCAAAGAAAACCTGATGGCGGTCGCAAGGGATAACCCACCACATTTCCAAGAACACTCACTAGCTTTCTTCCAGGACCTGGCCCCCTTTACCCTGCAAAAGTGCAGGACCCTGAAAGGCCTCACCATGGCTCTCACCACCAAGGGACTGCGCTACATGTGGGGATACTCCTTGAAGCTGGTCTTTCGTAAGGATAACCAATCTCACATCACATCTTAAGTTGCATCCCTATCCATTTTTCCTCCTCCCTATGACACTCCTGTCTTCCTTGGTCCCGACATGCGCCCCCACCTGGAAGGAGGGCATCCCTCCCCCGGTCGACACAGGTGATGTGCCTGGGACTAGAGGGATGTCCTCAGCAACGTTGCTCCTACTGCACCTTGCCAAGTCTCCACATGCCTACTCCACCTTGCCAAGTCCATACTGACCTCTACCAACCATCGGAGGCGCCGCTTGCCCCCAGGTGGGGCCCCGATTGGGCCGCATCCTTGGGTGACCAGGGTCAAGTAAAGCTCAACATCACCAGGGACGAGGTCTAAGGGGTGTCCATCTGGACTCTTTACTAGCTACACACACCCATGATACTTTTTTTGCCAATGTTTTGTTTTGCATGCTGTAATTGCAAATTTCATAATTGCAAATTTAATAGCTTTAATATGTTTCTAATATTTGCCCTTTTTGTGCTGTGTATGGGAGAGGTGGACAAACTGCACAAATCACTCTCACTTACAACCTCGGGGTGCGGGGAGAGGGACACACTCCTGGCCTTTGCCTGTTCCCATTCGCCTCCTGGGCCAGAAATGCCCACTTCACTACTCCCTCCTGCACTCACATATTCCCCTGGTGGAAACTCTACCTTTCACGTTTCCTCCGCCGGGTGAATATCCGCCCGTAAAAAGCCTGGCACTTGTTGTATAAGACCAGGCTTACTCTTCTTCACACATACTTAATCTTTGCTCTTTCTCTCTCTTTCTCTATCTCTCTCTCTTCCCCTTACCCCCACTTAACCTTCCTTTTCTTCTCTCTCTATTTTCTTTCTTCTCTTTCTCCCCCTCCTTTTCTATTTTCTCCTCTCCCTCTCCTCTTCCACTATCTGTTTTTTTGCCTTCCCCCCTCTCTCCCTTCCCCACCCTCATCACCACATATCGCATACCACCTACCAAACACTCCGATCTCTAGCACTAACCATGCCGGCAACGCTGACATGTCTCTCTATCAATTGTAAGGGTCTCAACAGCCCATCTAAATGCCACCAATTCCTTTGCTGGGCCAATAAATCCAAAGCAGATATCATCCTCTTGCAGGAAACCCATTACTCCAGGGACAGGCCTTGCCGCTTCTGAGCCGACACTTTTGGAGCTGCTACTTGGCAAACCCGAGCACAGGCAAACCTAATGGAGTGGCCATTATAGTTCACAAGTCCTGCCCTCTCAACATCCACCACTCAGTGGGTACATCACTGTCACAGGTTCAATAGGCCCCCATAAATATGCCTTTACGTCACTCTACACCCCAATGTCCCATGCACTCCCTTTTGGGACACTCTACAGACGCATCTATCCCTCTTTCCTTCACACCACACGATCATAGGGGGAGATTGCAATGCAGTGCTCTTCCCAAACGTAGACAGACAATGCCCTACAGCTCACACCTCCCCCAACCTCCCACGGCCAGAACAGACAAATTGCTTAAAATGTTTTTGCCTAAAACTGCACCTACTGGATGCCTGGAGGGTACAGCACCCCTCAACACTGGACTACACGTTCTTCTCCCACCCACATCACTCCCACTCAAGAATCAACCTCTTCCTGATTTTGCCACTTCTCCTTCAAGCAGTCAGGTCCACTAGCATAGGATCTATCAGGTGGTCAGACCATGCGGACATCACGATCACGATTCCCCACACCAAAAAAAATGTGGACGTGATGTCTGAACCCAGCACTCCTACATAATCCCAAAAATGACATTCTCAAATCCATTCTTTACTTAAGAATTTTATTTTTATTTAAGAATACTTTACACTGAACACAGACTCTGTATCCTCCAACAGGATTTTATGGGCAGCACACAAATCAATACTAAGAGGCTAAATCATTAGCCTGGCTTCGGCCCATTAGCAGACATCGAAGCCATACTATTGAAATTACGTTCTTTAGAAGCTGAACATAAACTCAACCCCACCCAGACGCTGAAAGACCAAATTACTAACTGACAAAAAAACTTAAATCCCATATGGCAAAGATGGACCAAACAACTCCGAAAGACAAATTGACAAAATCCACTCCCCTGCGGGACAACCAACGGAAATCCCCTCACAGGTCGCTAAAATACTCCAAACTTACTTCACACGCCAATATCCTGCACATACATCCACTCTTATTGATAACTACCTTAACTCCATCAGACTGCCAAGCCTATCCACGGCTTCACGGGGCTGTACTACAAAACATTTTCACAGGCACTAATCCAGCAATTAAGAGACCTTTTTAACACCCTCCTCCAAGGCAAGTCAACTTCTGCTTGATCCCCAAGCCAAATAAGACCCTCCTGGACCCAGGCCATTTTGACCAATTTCCCTACATTAAAATATTCACTAAACTGTTGGCCGAAAGACTCAACCCCTACCTGCCCAGATTGATCCAACCAGGCATGTGAAAATACACAACTCTCCTACGACCTAGTTTGGGTTGCAATTCACCGGAACATCCCCACCCTCCTCCTTTAGCTAGAGTGCCTTCTCTGGTCTTTTATGTACGCGACACTGCGCACGCTCAGCTTCCCACAACCATTCATAACCCCAATACAAACCCTCTACTCTAATTCAACGGCAAATTTACTAATCCCACACGTGGAACCCCCCAAATTCGCAATTTTTAACGGCACCCCGCAGGGCTGACCCTTATCCTCATATTATTTGTTTTATCCCTTGAACCACTATTTCAGACAATACGGACTGACAATAGCATCAAAGGTATATGGCTACGTCAGGATGAATATAAAATTGCAGTTTACGCAGACGATGTCCTATTGACACTGTCGGTCCCGACAACCTTCTTACCATCACTACTCGCCCGACTGCAGGAATATGCCTCACTGTCAGGCTATAAGCTCAACTTAGGTAAAACAGAAGCACTCTCGGCCTCCCAGACATCCTATCCCTCCCACTATGCCGGCCATTACCACAACTGTGAAAATCTGGTCTCCACCCCCTCGCCACTCACTTCTTTATTACACAACACACACTTTCCGCCAGGCATCACCCTCCCAAGACTTCTCACACTTTAAATATAATTATTTAAGCAGATTTTACCATTTCTTCCATGGGAATCGCTTGATCCCCTTCGCACACCTCCCACAGACCACCCCCCTAACCCTATTCGACCACTTCAGATATTTGCAAATCCAGAGCTTTTTAGAGGTGCCCCTGCACACACAAACAGGGACAACTGCTCTCACAACCTTTGAAGAAATGTGCCTACGCTGCCGTATACAAAATGGCCAAGTCTCTACGATATATGCACTTCTCACCCCTAACCTGTCCACAGGAGCTCTCTCCTACGTGTCGGCTTGTGAGAGGGACCTGGGCCCCCCGGAGGATCCTGCAGATTGGGGAGACATTTGGGAGGCCACTGTCTCCATATCCATATGCGTAAATCATAAAGAACTTTACTACGATGGTACCTCACTCCTCTCCGCCTCAAACAGATGGGTTGTGCAACCACAGACCTATGCTGGAAAGGCTGTGGCTAGAAAGGAACGTATCTGCATGCCTGGTGGGAATGCCTAGTGGTAACCCCACTCTGGCAAGCAATTGCCCAGCTCACCTTTGGGCTGTTACACACAGACATCCCCATAGATCCCTGGATTTGGCTACTCTCCAAACCCTTCAGTGACATCACCAGGGCCCAAAACAAGTTAGTTTCTAAAATTGCACTAGCCTCTAGACGGACCATAGCTGAACAACTGAGAAATACAACCCCTCCCTCACTGGAAGCCACACTAGGCAGAACCAGGGGAGCAGTGGAAATGGGCAGGTTTTCAGCTCTCCTATACAACACCACAAACCACTTCCATAAAATGTAGGACCCCTGGCTTCTAGACAACATGTTAACTACACAGTCCACCACATAACCACCCTCATCAACGTCCTTGACCCTAAATGTACTCCCCCTATAACCTCCCTTTCCTTTTTTTCTCTATCTTATTCTTTTCTTCTTTCTCTCTCTCTTTTCTTTCCTCCCTCTTTCAACTGTTTTCCTTTCCCTCCCTCCTCCTCCTATCTCTTCTTTCTAACCTACCTGAAGGGGCTAAACTTGTTGACCCAACAGAGATGGGGCTGATGGGAGATTCGCTATTCCAAAATGAATGTCTAAGTCCACATGACACCACTATGCAACACCATCGGGGTCTGTTGGTGAGAACGAGTTGTGACGAGCATCACAAGAGCTGTAGAGGACGCCGACACTTCCCGAACGGGAGTTGACTCTGGACCGCCAGCACCCCAGCCATTGTAAAAGCTCCCTAAGTGTCATGAGGCACTGGTATAAATCCCCTCACTTGGTTACCCATAAAGCACCGACCCGAGACAGGTTCATACAGCCTACACCAAGGACTCCTACCGACTCTATTAGCAATATTTTACATAATTTTCAAACATCCTAAATGTAACTTGGACGAACTTCAATTGTACCGCACTATGTATGTAATTGCCTACTGCTGTATTGTACCGAATGCATATCAGATACGTTTCTCATTGACTGTATATGTATTGAATTATGAAAAAAAAACACACACAAATAATGTTAAAAGTAACATTGCAAGTAGCAACCTCATATTTGATCATATGTATGGATACATTAATTTCTTTGCTATATTTAATCGTTTTATTTAATCTAGCAAATATTGTAAATGGTTTGGACCTTTTGTGTAGAAATTGGAATTATTACAAAGATTTGTTTACAGTATTAGTCTATTTCCAGTCTTGGAAGTGAATATACCATGTGAGATTAACTGAACCTATATTTGCTTTGCTAACACATTATTGTTTAGCACAGGGCCCTTCATGTACAATCCTATAAGCTTGGAGATTCCTTAATTGCTTGCAAAATTGACACGTTGGCTCAGCAGAGGTTATAGAATCTTACGAACTCGTGGAAACCTTTATATAAGTGAAATACTATTTGCTCTCAGTAAACACCCTACTCCGTTCTTGACTTTAAACGGTGAACGGTGAAGTGTTTTCTGGGGATTACAACAGAAGTGTGTATTTTTTAGACTTGTGACGTGTGTCAGAGATGATCTGTGTTCCCCCGCATCGCCCAAAAGAACCAGCAGCGCAGTTCAGGCCCACGTCCTTACTCACCATTAATTGTTGTCAGTTTCCATGGTAACCACTCGTTATGGAAAGACCTGGCTTACACGTTTCCTATCTGTTCTCTAATGCTTTTTTATTACAGAAGAACAGACTGTAGATTTTATCCAAGGTTATGATACTTTAAATCAAGAAGCGTTCCAGACCTAGTTTGGTCATAAGGGATTTTCTGGGGTTGGCAGGCAGGGCCGGACTGGGGATACGAAGCAGCCCTGGAAAAAAATCTATGCCAGCCCCATAAGTCATTGTGCTATGTAGGGTGTTTTATATATATATAGGCAATTGAAATAGTTGGCTGCACTCTCGGATTTCCTGAAAATGTAACTTTTATTGAAATATTTAAGATCAATGTTTCAGTCCCTCTTGTGGACTTTCGTCATGATCTTGATGCAAGGGACTGAAACGTTGAAATATTAAATATTTCAATAAAAGTAAAATTTTAAGGAAATCCGAGAGTGCAGCCAACTATTTCAATTGCCTATATATATTCTTCTTCTAATTCAAAATATTAGTTCTTTTAGGGTAATTAAATTATACAGTAAAGCATTCTCACACACAGACAGACAATCTTACTGATGCACACAAATAGGCTCATTGACAGACAATGACACACACAGACAAGGTTACTGGCACACACACAAATTTAGTACAGACAAACTCTGATACACACACACAAGCTTACTATAGACAAGCTCACTGTCACACACACACGCTCACTACAGACAAGCTCACTGATCAGCACACACTCTCCCTACAGACAAGCCCATTGACACACCCGCTCCCTACAGAAGAGCTCACTAACACACAGATTCACTACAGACAAGCTCACTGACACACACATGCTCACTACAGACAAACTCACTGTACACACATGCTCACCACAGACAGGCTCCGACACACACAGACATATGATCCCTACAGACAAGCTCACTGACACACATACAAGCTCACTCACTAGCAGGCACACACACACAACTCACTAGCAGGCACACACACACACACACACAGAGGCTCCCTCACTAGCAGATGCGTGCACACACACACAAAGGCAGACAGTCACTGACACCCAGACAGACAGCCACACACACAAACAGGCAGACAGTCACGCACACACAGGCAGACAGTCACACAACAGACAGTCACACAGTCTCACACACACACAGACAGTCACACACACACTCACAGACAGTCACACACTCACACAGGCAGTCACACACTCACACAGACAATCACACACAGGCAGTCACACACTCACACAGACAGTAACACACACACTCACACAGACAATCACACACAGGCAGTCACACACTCACACAGACAGTCACACACTCACACAGACAATCACACACAGGCAGTCACACACTCACACAGGCAGTCACACACTCACACAGGCAGTCACACACTCACACAGACAATCACACACAGGCAGTCACACACTCACACAGACAATCACACACAGGCAGTCACACACTCACACAGACAATCACACACAGGCAGTCACACACTCACACAGACAATCACACACAGGCAGTCACACACTCACACAGACAATCACACACAGGCAGTCACACACTCACACAGACAGTCACACACACACTCACACAGACAATCACACACAGGCAGTCACACACTCACACAGGCAGTCACACACTCACACAGACAATCACACACAGGCAGTCACACACTCACACAGGCAGTCACACACAGGGCCGGACTGGGGATACGAAGCAGCCCTGGAAAAAAATCTATGCCAGCCCCATAAGTCATTGTGCTATGTAGGGTGTTTTATATATATATAGGCAATTGAAATAGTTGGCTGCACTCTCGGATTTCCTGAAAATTTAACTTTTATTGAAATATTTAAGATCAATGTTTCAGTCCCTCTTGTGGACTTTCGTCATGATCTTGATGCAAGGGACTGAAACGTTGAAATATTAAATATTTCAATAAAAGTAAAATTTTAAGGAAATCCGAGAGTGCAGCCAACTATTTCAATTGCCTATATATATTCTTCTTCTAATTCAAAATATTAGTTCTTTTAGGGTAATTAAATTATACAGTAAAGCATTCTCACACACAGACAGACAATCTTACTGATGCACACAAATAGGCTCATTGACAGACAATGACACACACAGACAAGGTTACTGGCGCACACACAAATTTAATACAGACAAACTCTGACACAAGCTTACTATAGACAAGCTCACTGTCACACACACACGCTCACTACAGACAAGCTCACTGATGCGCACACACTCTCCCTACAGACAAGCCCATTGACACACACATGCTCCCTACAGAAGAGCTTACTAACAGATTCACTACAGACAAGCTCACTGACACACACATGCTCACTACAGACAAACTCACTGTACACACATGCTCACCACAGACAGGCTCCGACACACACAGACATATGATCCCTACAGACAAGCTCACTGACACACATACAAGCTCACTCACTAGCAGGCACACACACACACACACACAAACTCACTAGCAGGCACACACACACACACACACACACACAGAGGCTCCCTCACTAGCAGATGCGTGCACACACACACAAAGGCAGACAGTCACTGACACCCAGACAGACAGCCACACACACAAACAGGCAGACAGTCACGCACACACAGGCAGACAGTCACACAACAGACAGTCACACAGTCTCACACACACACAGACAGTCACACACACACTCACAGACAGTCACACACTCACACAGGCAGTCACACACTCACACAGACAATCACACACAGGCAGTCACACACTCACACAGACAGTCACACACATACTCACACAGACAATCACACACTCACACAGACAATCACACACAGGCAGTCACACACTCACACAGACAGTCACACACTCACACAGACAATCACACACAGGCAGTCACACACTCACACAGGCAGTCACACACTCACACAGACAGTGACACACACAGACAGTCACACACACACACACACAGACCAGTCACACACACTCACAGACAGTCACACACTCCACACGGGGCAGTCACACACTCACACAGACAATCCCACACACGGGCAGTCCACACGCACTCCACACAGGCAGTCACACACTCACACAGACAGTCACACACACACTCACACAGACAATCACACACAGGCAGTCACACACACAGACAATCACACACAGGCAGTCACACACTCACACAGACAATCACACACAGGCAGTCACACACTCACACAGGCAGTCACACACTCACACAGACAATCACACACAGGCAGTCACACACTCACACAGACAATCATACACAGGCAGTCACACACTCACACAGACAATCACACACAGGCAGTCACACACTCACACAGACAGTCACACACACACTCACACAGACAATCACACACAGGCAGTCACACACTCACACAGGCAGTCACACACTCACACAGACAATCACACACAGGCAGTCACACACCCACACAGGCAGTCACACACACACTCACACAGACAATCACACACGGAGCGGACGGACAATCACACACAGACAGTCACACACACTCACACGGGCAGTCACACACTCACACAGACAATCACACACAGGCAGTCACACACTCACACAGACAGTCACACACACACTCACACAGACAATCACACACAGGCAGTCACACACTCACACATACAATCACACACAGGCAGTCACACACTCACACAGACAATCACACACAGGCAGTCATACACTCACACAGACAGTCACACACTCACACAGACAATCACACACAGGCAGTCACACACTCACACAGGCAGTCACACACTCACACAGACAGTGACACACAGACACACTGACCTGCTTCTTACCTCCTGCAGGCTGGTTGTTGGGGAAGCAGGGACTCCTTCCTGCTTCCCATGCTGCAATCAGCCCCGCCCCCGCCGCACGCTTAGCCCCGCCCCCGCCACACGTAAGCTCCGCCCCCACTGCAAATTTTTTTTTTTATGATCCCGGCCGGCCATGTGTGAGCTGTGCCGGTGTTCTATCAGTCTGGTATACTCCGTCAGATTGCTATACCCACGTCACTTCCGGGGAGGGGAATCAGCTGTCTCCTGTGCTGCACATGCGTGCTAGCACTCCTGCTACTCCTCCACAGCAAGGTCCTGGAAGGTAAGTAAAACTAGTTTTACACTTTCATTATAGTTAGTGCATTCACTAAGCTTAGGCACACGGGACATTTAGGGTTAAGTGAGGGTACAAATTAGGGTTAGGTAAGTGCTTCTAACCTCTCTCACACTCTATTCTTACCCTAACCCTTGGGGTAAGGGTTAAAATAAAGTGTGAGAAATCACTATTTAGTGATATTCCCCTAATGTGAAATATCACTAAATAGGAACAAGTCCCTAATCCTAACCCTAATTTGTACCCTAACATTAACCCTAAATGTCCCATGTCCTAAGCTTAGTGAATGCACTAACTATAATGAAAGTGTAAAACTAGTTTTACTTACCTTCCAGGACCTTGCTGTGGAGGAGTAGCAGGAGTGCTAGCACGCATGTGCAGCACAGGAGACAGCTGATTCCCCTCCCCGGAAGTGACGTGGGTATAGCAATCTGACGGGGTATACCAAACTGATAGAACACCGGCCGCCTGGCTCCCCCGCTCCCATGGGGCGCTGTGCGGCCGCACAGCTCACACATGGCCGGCCGGGATCACAGGAGCTGTCAGCCCAATGATCAGGGCTGTCAGACCGGCCCCAGGTGCCGCGGCCCACCGGGAAATTTCCCGGTATCCCGGTGGGCCAGTCCGGCCCTGTTGGCAGGCCTCTCTAAAAAGCAACAGTCTTGATTGTATAGTACACTATTGCTATATTCTCAAATGAAAATACAGGAATCTTAATGAACTTAATAAGCATTCCCTAAAATACTATTTATTAAAACATGGTTATTAAAAATATTATTTCTCTCTCCTATTAGGATATATTTCAGTCCATTTTCAGTCCAGGTGTTGTTTTGGTGAAGAGAGCGATATAATTGTAATTGGAAACACTCTGTGCGTATAACGTGCTGCTATCTCATTTAGTAGGTGTACTCTTTGTACAAAAGTGTAATTAAATATTGTCTTTCTTAGGAGGCAAAATCCACTGTTCATTAAAGAAGCAAACACTGCTTATTAATTTTTTTTTAAAAAGGCTCTATTTTACAAAAACACATTAGCTGCTCAAAGTGCATTTTGAAGTTTATTTTGTCCTTATATTCTTCCATCTGTTTAAACTGATTCTACCATTACCTGTATCCAACAGTTGATCTCCAACAATATGTGTTCATCTGCTTTAACTCTGACTTCCAGCCCAATGTCTGTACGCAATGTGCCTCTCGTCTGGCCTATGATCCAACCCATGTCCATCTGTCTGACGTATAGTCTAACTTCTGTTCATGAACTAATTGTTGACTCTAGCTCCAAATGTATCCATCTGTCTATTTATTGCCATTTATGTAGCTCCATCTTCTATACTCATGACTTTTCACTCTCGAAAATCCTGTCTTTTCTATATCCCTTTCTCTTATATCTCAAGCGCAGAGTCTGCGTGATATCCTTTCGCTTAAAGCCCAACTTCATAGTTTTGGCCTGCAGATCAACTCCTGTTCATTTTATAATCTCTGGCATCAATTTTTCAGGCTCTATTTTTTTATTCCCCATTACTTTTTTTTTGTTATTATCCTTCAGCCCCTATATCTTTTCTCTCATTATCATATCTTTTTAAACTTTAGTCATACATTTAATTATTGTTTAATTGCAAAACAGTTCCTTATGTTTTCAGCTGGCCTGATCTTTGACTTTGTGTTGTTCAGTAATTGTCTTTTCTTTCTCATGTAATTATTTTCTTGGTGCTTGCCCTCCTGACACATTTTAGTGTTCTGCTCCAATCTTATGCATCACCTGTTTTCTCTATCTGTTCTGTTGCATTATTACTTGGCCTGTCTTCTCCACCTTTCTCAGTGATTGATTCTGTCAACATTATAAATATGTCTGAATCCTCTCATTCTACTTAGCACTGAACCTTTGACTGATACATAGCAAACTACATTTAATGTGTGTTTTATATATTGCCTATTCTCTGTAACTTACATTTACACACATGTGTTGTGTGCATTCTTATAGGAACCAGCATGTTTGGCATCAGAACACTGTGAAGGCCACAGGGCCAGTGGTGACACATTGAGCTCATGTAAAACTGTCTCATACATCTTTCAGTTTACATACTCCAAGGCTATGTCACAGTGCAGACATGGAAGCCGCTAAATACACTGCAATCTATCTTTTGCTACTCATTTTAAAATTTATCTCTACTCAACTTGAGGTTTAACCATGGCAGCAGCTTATTGAAAGATGACGCTTTCATAGCTCAGTGGAAGACGTCAGGTTATTCTTTACTGGCGAATACAATGTATTTGATATATGTAGATTTTATTTTAGCTATTTAGCCAGCCGTGGTACAGATAAACTAGAAAAATGGTCAGAATTGTGGCAACTGACATTTAATGTGGATAAGTGCAAGATAATGCATCTTGGACGTAAAAACCCAAGGGCAGAGTACAGAATATTTGATAGAGTCCTAACCTCAACATATGAGGAAAGGGATTTAGGGGTGATTATTTCTGATGACTTAAAGGTAGGCAGACAATGTAATAGAGCAGCAGGAAATGCCAGCAGAATGCTTGGTTGTATAGGGAGAGGTATTAGCAGTAGAAAGAGGGAAGTGCTCATGCCATTGTACAGAACACTGGTGAGACCTCACTTGGAGTATTGTACACAGTACTGGAGACCGTATCTTCAGAAGGATATTGATACCTTAGAGAGGGTTCAGAGAAGGGCTACTACACTGGTTCATGGATTGCGGGATAAAACTTACCAGGAAAGGTTAAAGGATCTTAACATGTATAGCTTGGAGGAAAGACGAGACAGGGGGGATATGATAGAAACATTTAAATATATAAAGGGAATCAACACAGTAAAGGAGGAGACTATATTTAAAAGAAGAAAAACTACCACAACAAGAGGACATAGTCTTAAATTAGAGGGACAAAGGTTTAAAAATAATATCAGGAAGTATTACTTTACTGAGAGGGTAGTGGGTGCATGGAATAGCCTTCCAGCTGAAGTGGTAGAGGTTAACACAGTAAAGGAGTTTAAGCATGCATGGGATAGGCATAAGGCTATCCTAACTATAAGATAAGGCTAGGGACTAATGAAAGTATTTAGAAAATTGGGCAGACTAGATGGGCCGAATGGTTCTTATCTGCCATCACAGTCTATGTTTCTATGGTATAGAATAGAAACATTAATCCCTACCACTCAGTGCACAAGGACCAGAGAGACAGAGAGAGAGAAAATGAAGAGGAAGGAGGAGTTGATGTGCCAGGAGTGGTAGCAGCAGCCAGACTGCCTCAGTAAATGAAGCTAATTTGGGAACACAAAGCTGTATATAAATGAAGTGCCGTCTGAATGTAAAAACAAACAAACACCAGGAGAGAGACGTGTGGAGAGAAGGATTCTGGGAATGAGCTGACAGCTTTCATTTTGGGAGTGAAAGTGCATTACTAGGGTGTCAACGTATGCTCGTGACAGCCTTTTATTTTGGTTTCCTAAAATAAATGAATGCAAATCTGTTAGATAGGCCTGCCGGAATATACCCCAAGCATCTTTATTAGTCACTGCAGATTAACCTTTTGTCTTCCTTGGCGCATTCCAGAATTTCCAGATCATGTACATTGTGCCACAGCTGGGATTCTAAATGTGTACTGAGGAGATGGTATATATTAATAGCATGCAGCTTAAAGATGCCCGTCTCCCTCCCGCACTTCCTGTCTCTAAGGCTTCCTAGCCTAACAAGTCATTATAAATCTTGTGCAAACTTTTACCTGTTTGAAGGCTCTGGCCCTGTTAGCAGAGTTCATGATAAATCACAAGCTGGCCTCTTTGGCCTTTCTACTGCTACTTGTCTTTATGTGTTTAATATTGTCAGCAGCAGCTGTACCTATTAAGGATTGCATAACGTGCAGTCCTTCACATAGGCTTGTTTTATAACTCACATTACCCTAACTCTACAACTGGCTGAGGGCTGAGGGAGTTGTAACTCCCTCAGCCCTCAGTTAACCCCATAAGGACCAAACTTCTGGAATTAAAGGGAATCATGACATGTCACACATGTCATGTGTCCTTAAGGGGTTAAATGGACACTATAGTCACCTGAACAACTTTAGCTTAATGAAGCAGTTTTGGTGTATAGAACATGCCCCTGCAGCCTCACTGCTCAATCCTCTGCCATTTAGGAGTTAAATCCCTTTGTTTATGAACCCTAGTCACACCTCCCTGCATGTGACTTGCACAGCCTTCCATAAACACTTCCTGTAAAGAGAGCCCTATTTAGGCTTTCTTTATTGCAAGTTCTGTTTAATTAAGATTTTCTTATCCCCTGCTATGTTAATAGCTTGCTAGACCCTGCAAGAGCCTCCTGTA